GCGTTGGCTGGTTGGTGTGGCGTTGGCTGGTTGGTGTGGCGTTGGCTGGTTGGTGTGGTGTTGGCTGGTTGGTGTAGTTTTGGTTGGTTATTACAGTGTTGGTTGGTTATTGTAGCTTGACTGGTTGGTGTAGTGCGGGAAGCATTTCCAGAAATCAAACCACGAGTCTGTGCAGATTCTTTCTGTCTTGAACAGCTGCACCCCTCCTCCTGCCATCCCGCAAGTTTAGACTCCTGTCTGTAACCAGTGAAATCCCCCACCAGTGGCCAGGCGGTGGCTCACACCTGTAATCCCAGCACTTTGGGAGGCTGACGTGGGCGGATCACGAGGTCAGGAGATCGAGACCATCCTGGCTAACATGGTGAAACCCTGTCTCCACTAAAAATACACACACAAAAAAAACACTAGCTGGGCATGGTGGCAGGCACCTGTAGTCCCAGCTACATGGGATGCTGAGGCAGGAGAATGGCGTGAACTCGGGAGGCAGAGCTTGCAGTGAACCGAGATTGCGCCACTGCACTCCAGCCTGGGCGACAGAGCGAGACTCCGTCTCAAAAAAAAAAGAGAAATCCCCCACAAGTGCAGTCAGAATTTTTAGACACATGACACGGACGGCGTTTGCACGTTCGCTGTATTGACGTCATGCGTGGAGTGCGTGATGCGCCGTTTCTCACTTGTCATTTTCAGCAAATCGTGGGAAACACTTAAAAATCCCTTAAAAATTACTCCACCCCACCCAACTCGCTGCCCGGCTGCTCCTATGAGTTCTGGCACTTTCTAGGAAGCCGCTGCTGCTGCCCCCCATCTGGACAGCAATGTGGCCTCCATGAGTGACTTCAGTTAGGGCTCTTTAGCAAGGAGTGCTGTGCGTGCCGGCCCTCAGGCCCCAGGGCACCTCACTGCCATCTGTAAAGAGGCTTGGGGCACCCAGCACCATGCAGGAGGCCTGAGCTCTGCCTGCTGGTCTGATGGGAGGTGAACTGGGCACTTGGTGGGGGATTGTGGTGCAGTGGGGTGGGGGGACTGAGAACCCTGTGTGGTGCAGCCCCCCAGCACCCTCCCCACGTCCCAGAGAAGGTCTGGGCTGGAGCTCCCAGGGGTGGACGGGGATGCCTCGGGGCGCCCACCTCAGCATTTAGGGTCACTTTCCCCTCCCGACGAGCCCTCCACAGTGACAGTGCCTGCATCTCTCAGCCTGGGCTTTGGGGGCCTTGGCTGCCCTCATGACACCATTTCTGTTGGCAGCCGCCGCCAAGCACCTGGACGAGTCCACCTGAGGGGCTCTGGAGCTCCCGGCACCTGGTCCTTCCCACGAGGATGCTGTGCCCATGGGGGCTGCACCTCTGGGGCTCTGGGCACTGCTCTGCACTCCACAGAAGCCTACGACTGCAGCCTCATCCATTATTCTGATTTTGAAAAAAAATAAATACCCACAGCCCGGGTTGTAGAGATGATTTGGTTTTATGCCGGTGTCCACGTGGACAGAGTTTTACCTCACAGCGGTGCCTCCCTGCTGTGTGGATGTACGAGGGCCTCGCCAGGCTGGGCTCATAGGGCCCCTCAGTTCCGCAGCAGCCAGTCCCGGAATGTCGGGACTGCAGCCCCCAGGAGGGAGGCCTACTTTTTAATAATCAGCTGTTTTGTTTCTTATTAAAATGAGGGCAAGCTCTCCTGCCTCCCACTGGGAGCTGCCTACCCTGCCTTGGCACCTCCCTGGGTGACCGGCAGGAGACCTCAGCTCCAGGGGGCCCTTGGCTCAGCCACAAGGAGGGCTGGGGGCCTGGGTCTGACTCAACCATACTCAGCCTCGGCAGCGTCACCTTAGTGCCCATGTGTGGATGGGGGTCCAGTCCTTCTCCCTGCCCAAGGTCTGGGGTGGCAGCCGGCCAGCCTGGAACCTTCCAGCATACCCTGCTTGGCCCCTGGCCAATGACCACGGTGGCAGGAGGCACTTGGGGGGGTCCAGGTGCCCTCGAGGGCGACCTCTCTCGGCCTCCTGCCCGGGCCAGACTCCAGGAACCCCAGGGACCCCAGCGGGGCCAGTAGCCCCCCAGGAGGTCAGAAGGGATGAAGGACACGTGACCCCGGTCAGGAGGAAAGGATGAAGCGTGGGGACCATGAGGGCAGCCCTGGGGTCCCGTGTCCACCCACGGAGACACCAACTCGCACCAAAGTCATCGCCAGGGTCAGGCTCTGGCCGTCCGGGTAGACGGGACTCAGCTGTGTGCTCTGTCTCCTGTGGGCTCTCCACGGCTTTCCAGGGACCTGCAATCAGAAGCAAAAACACAGCTGCCCATCCCTCCAGCCCGCCTGCGCGAGAGCTGCCTGCTCTCAGGAAATGCTCCAGGGCGGTGAGTGCTGGGCTGAGGGACGCCGCACCTCCACCGCCACGCAAGGCCCCTGCCCTGACCACGGTCTGTCTCCTTCTCCGTGTCCTCAAGGCTGTAGCTAATTCATGAGGACCCTGTGAGCTTTGGCTCAGCAGAAACACCGCTGGGATGTGTTTGAAGTTTTTCCCCATTTTCCGTAACTGGTCTCTGCCGGCAGCCCTAGAAGAGGACGCTGGGGTGCTGGGCAGCCGTGGGGGCAGCGGCTGGAGTCCTCGTGTCAGGCTCCGGGGGGCAGTGCTGGGAGCAGGCCCCAGAGCAAAGGGGCAGGCGCGTCTCCTCTTGTATTTAGGGTGATCCAGCGTGGGGGCCCTGGCCAGGGGCATCCTCAGGGCAGGACTGACCGAAGAGGTCGTTCCAGGCAGCCGCATCTTCCACCTGGAAATGCTCTGGGGAACCTGACAACACGGGCATGTCTGTGTGTTTTGCCTCCTAAAATCCGAGGCTGAGTGGGACACAGAGGGTTGGTGTTTCTGGACCCAGAGATTGAGATGCCCCAGGAGGCTTGAGGCGAGTGTCAGGTTCCAGTCCAGCCGCCCAGAGCTCCTGTCCGCCTGCCCACTGAGCTGTGTGGCCACTGACTGCCCCGTTCTTCTTGCAGGAGCAGCCCAATGGGAACCCCAAGGAAGGGCCTTTCCGGGAGGACCAGTGTCCCCTAGAGGGTAAGTGCAGCTCCCGCAGCCCTCCCTCCCCAAACCTCGCAGACTTCATCCCGTACCAAGGCAATGCCAGAAAACCACCCTTAAAACAGCCCTGTGTGTGAGGCAAGGGGCGCTTCCCAGACTCAGACGCACCTTGTTCTTGAAAAGTGCTTGGCAGCACAACTCACAGGGTCCTCGCTGGACTGGCAGCTGGGATCTGGCAGCAGAGATGAAAAAGGCCCATCCCATGGCCAGAGCCCTAAGCATCACCTTTATGTGTTTGGAGTCTCTGTGAGCCTGTGTTTGTGGATGGGGGTGGCTCTGTATAAAGGTGGCCTGTGAATTTTCATGTCAGCCCTGGGTCAGAGGATGTGTGAGATGCTGGCCCAGCCTAAGTCCCTGCCACTTGTGTGTCTCCGTGGCACCAGTCCTACCTGTGGCATGTGGCAGGTCGACACTTGGCTTACCTGTGGGTCTGTGGGAGGGTGCTGGGAGGTCAGCCAGCCGGGTCACCTTCAGATGGCTGCTGAAGCCAAGAGAGGCACCCAGGCCCCCTTAATGGGAAGGCAGGCCCAAGCCAAGAGAGGCACCCAGACCCCCCTCAATGGGAAGGCAGGCCCAAGCCAAGAGAGGCACCCAGACCCCCTCAATG